GCGAAATCCACACCAGTGGTTTCAAAAACCCTAGCCGTTGCAATTCGTTCGGCTGGTAAAACCGTCCACGGTTCTGACGCGCTTTTGCCGTATAGGCGCTTGCATATTACACAACGCTGAAGAATGTTCTTAATCAGCTGCCGACCTTGAACTATCCAAAACTTCTTTCTAATGTGCGACAAAACTGTATTAACGCCACCACCATTTGCTTTATCCGCCTCAATTATTATCAGCTGGCTAAAACGAGAATGCTTTGGAAGAATAATTGGGTTAGTATGTCTATTACCAAATTCAACTCCATGCAGTCTTCCTGTGAGCACCAGTACGTCATTCTCCAGTATTGGATTTAAAGTCAAAAGCTTTGAATCAGATGAGATTAACAAGCCCTGTTGCAATGCGCCGATTTCCTTCTCGTAATCACCCCTTTGAGCATCCCTTATCCAGTAGCACTCAGCCTCTTTCAACTCTTTATAAGTTAGCTCGTCGACGTCAGCGACAGATTTAACTCTCCGGCCTTTTTCGCGCACATGTTTGGTTTTGATAGCGTTCAGGAACCGAAAAATGTACGATGTCACACGTAGCAGACTGCTGCTGAAATCGTCGATTTGCAAAATAGGTTTGTACGTATCGCTATCGTCTTTTATTGCAACAGCTACCAAGCACGTCGGTCGCTCAACTTGACAGCCTGTTGGCCAGCATGCCTTTTCTTCTAGCAGCCAGGCTGGTCCATACTTCCACAATACTGATTCTGCTAACTGCTTGGCTTTAATACCTCTGGTAATCAAATCAGCGGGGTTGTTTTTTCCATCGCAGTGGCGCCATTCATATATATTCGTCAGACTGTTTATTTCGTTCACTCTCGCCTTGACATAAGGCTTCAACTGCTTTCCCTAGCCTCTTATCCAATTCAAAGCAATTGTAGAATCCGTCCACATGTATGTCGCATAAACATCGCAATCAATAGCCTCAACTAAAAATGCTTTGAGTCTGGCCGCCATCAGGGCTGCGGTCAGCTCCAACTTCGGTAAGCTCAGTTCGGTGTTTACTGAGTTCTTCTCAAGAGGCGCTACTCGATTTTTTGAGCAAATGAAATTTGTCACTATTTCCTTATCAGGAGAAATTTGCCGCAAGTATGCTACCGCTCCATACGCTTTTGGGCTCGCATCTGCAAAAATGTGCATCTCGATTGTTGCTGTGCTGTACGTTGTGAGATTTCTCTTTATACGCAGTCCGCTTAGTATTGGCAGCTCTTCTTGCCAGCATTGGAAGCTTGACAACAGATCTGCATCCAAAGTTTGATCCCAGTCAAGGTTCGCTTTCCACACACTTTGCAGCAATTTTTTAATTCGAACGACAAATGGGGAAAGCATTCCTAAGGGATCGTAGATCTTTGCCATCGCCTTCATTACATTCCGTTTGGTGCCTCTTAACGATCGTAAATATTCAACAATTCCTGCCAATTCGACGCTGAGCTCATCCGCGATTGTGCACCAATTTATGCCCAACACCTTAGGCTTCGTACACTCGTCACGCTTTGCAACTGGAAAAGAGGCCTTTAGTAAAATGTCGTTGGTATTCCACTTACGCAAGTTGAAATTGGCAGCGCCCATTATGCTATTCGCCATTTGAAAAAGGTCGTCAGCCGATTTACGGTTTGGCAGGCTAAGTACCAGATCGTCAACATAAAACGAAGCTTTTAGCTTGTCGCAGATCACGCCATATTGATCTCTACAGCTCTCTATATGCGTCTGTATCGTTGCTGCTAGTAGGAAGGGACTTGAAGCTACGCCGAAGGTAACTCGGGCCATTCGATATTCGGTTATTGATGGTAACACGCTATTGACTTTAGGAGTTGACTCATACCAAAAAAACCGATGGCAATCACGGTCACTTTCGGCTAGTGAGATTTGCAGAAACGCTTTCTCGATATCCGCTGTTAAAGCTATAGGGTTCGAGCGAAACTTTATCAGGGTAGACAACAAATTCGCCACCAAATTGTCGCCTACACTAAGATGCTCGTTTAGAGAAGAAAGTCCGACTTCACTTGACGAGGCATCAAATACTATTCGCATTTTCGTCGTAATTTTTTCTTCTCGATACACTGGTCTATGCGGCATGTAGTAGATCTTTCCATTAGAAGTTGTGCCGTCAACAGCTTCAGCGAATCCGTTCTGTAACAGCTCTCTAATTCCTGCATCATACTCGTAAAGTTTGTCGCTATGTTTTAGCAGGCCCGTCGTTAAGCTACGAAGACGAGAGAGAGCAACTTGCTTATTGTCGGCTAATGCGCCGCTGCCAATACGCCATGGCAGATTGACTACGTAGCGCCCGTTAGTTCGATTTATGCTTAATCGGATTTTTCCAACAACAGATTGGTCTTCATTAGATTGGAAATTTGTAATACCGACCGATTCTAGTCTCCAAAAATTAGAGATATCGAACGCATGGCCCACGCTATCGGATATATTTAGTACACAACTGTCTACAGCTAAGTTACTACTACATCCTTGTATTGTCCAACCAAACAGTGTTTTAACCGCAACTAACCTTTCAGATATACGCTTGCTTTCGGTCGCAGTAAATTGCCAAAAGTGGTCTTGACCGATTAATAAGTTAATACCATCAACAAGATTTTCACCACTTATGTTAGTATCAGCTAATTCAAGTTTTAAATATTTCAGTTTTTCACTTCTTATTTTCGGTACCGGTAAAACATCAATACAAATTTTAGGCACAACGATAGCTGTAATCGTCTTTGTTTTTCCGCTGTATTGGCCTTTAATATTAAGTTGAACACTTTTGAAGTCAGTCGGCTGCCTGTGGGTATTTTTATCTCCAAAGGCTACAATTCTCATTTTTTCAATGCCGCTCGCCGATAACTTCAAGAAATTCGCTAGTTTTTCACTTATGTAAGTGCGCTGACTGCCGTTGTC